CACACACACACACACACACACACACACACACACACATATATATATATATATATATATATAAACAAATTCAGGATAACTTGCATTACTTGACTGAGGAGATCTGATCCCACTGCATATTTCTCCAAGCTGCCTGGTAACGAATCTCCTGTAATTCTATGGAACTTTCTTCATTCTGCTGTTCCAATCCTTTTAAGTAGATGGAGAGTGTATTACATAGCCCATAGTTCTGCAAAGCCTATTAATCAATGAAACGTAATGTTAATATAGTATACATCAACTCTAATTTATGAAAACACTTCCAATCTAGATTAGAAACAACATATATTTACTGCTTGCAAGTATCTTATTTTTACCATTAATCTATATTAAGATTACACTTAATTATTGCTTAATTGATTTCTTTTCAATGAAACAGGTCATAGAATTTACAACAACTATTTTAGGTTAATGGAATTGCATTATTAATAAAGTGCTAACTTGCTTTTTTTGTGTGTACGTTTATTCATTTAAATAATTCAATACAGGAATCCATCTTACAGAAATGAGTCTAAGCAGCATAAAAGGCTAAACCAAAATGCAACACATTTTATACAACACACAAAAGTACACACCCGTAGCAGTATTTAATAACAACTTTGCATTTTTATTACCTGTACCAATCCAGCCTGTCGAATTGAAGGTGGAAGGCTGGTTTGAAGGTCATAGGTTACCAGAGCTTTCCCCCACATCCCTTCATGTTCATAGGTTCTTATCCTGTTAAAATAACATGACACAACAACATTCATTTAAGTTCTTATTTTTTTTCACAATAAAGTTAATTTTCTAATATAATTAATACCTGGCCAATGGCTGCAGCATTTTTCCTCCACCACAGCCATAGAGACTATCTGGCTCTCCTATGCTTCTGTATATATCCATAAGAAGGTCCTAAGGGGAGGAAAGTAAGTCTTGAATACAGGTAGCCCTTGACTTACAACTACAATTGAGCCCAAAATTTATGTTGCTAAGTGAGACATATGTTAAGTGAATTTTGCCCCATTTTACGACCTTTCTTGTGACAGTTGTTAAGTGCACTATTGCAGTTGCTAAGTTAGTAACCCGGTTGTTAAGTGAATCTGGCTTTCCCATTGGCTTTGCTTGTCAGAAAGTCACAAAAGATGATCACATGACGTTGGGACACATGACGTTGGGACAGTAATGGTCATAAACATGAACCAGTTGCCAAGCATCTGAATTTTGATCACATGATCATGGGGATGCTTCAAAGGTTGAAACTGTGAAAAATGGTCATAAGTCACATTTTTCAGTGCCATTGCAACTTCGAACTTTGGGGTCACTAAACAAGCTGTTGTAAGTCAAGGACTACCTGTACTTTAAGACATGAATTTAAAAACATTGTGGCAGTCAACTAAACATAGAAGGTACAATTAATACTGACATTGACCATTTTATAAACTATTAGCACATGGACAAGTGAATGACTTGTTAAACAGATAAGAGTCTGAAAAGTTTGTGCTATTGCATGGAGCTTGCTGTTCAGAGAAACACTGTGTAATATTTATCTGCATGTATAAAACATCTCTTTGAGATACATATTAGAGAAACCTACAAGTGATACCTTAAATAAAATAATTGCGGATAACATCTTACCAAATTCTAACATCATGTTTGTTGAAAATTGAATTAGGTTTTGGAATACAGGTGATAGTAATAGCTTGAAATTGGAATTAACTATTATATATCTGGGGAAGGTTGCTAATTCATGGAAGTGATCATCCACCATTAAAAGATGACAAAAACTATTTGTCTCTAAGTGCCATCACAATGTAGTACTGCTAATTATATGCATTACTTTTATTAAATCACATTGAAACATAACCTTTCTAAGTGACGCCAATAACTACTTTTAAGTACATTATAATAAATTCTATACCTGCAAACTTATTCCTGTTTCTTCTTTACTCTTCTCACTTAAACAAGTAAGTGTTGAATCCTGACTTCCTTCTTCAAATGTTAGTTTCTTAGCTGCTTTGGAAACAGACCTGCAGAAAAAGAATTCAAAACTGATGTCCAAGTGGAATTGATACCATGTTTGGGCATTCAGAAAAGAAAAATCACAACCAATAATCATGCCCATTTGCTTGATGTATTAGATGAGGTCTACATAGTCACCCAAAAAGCTTGAAATGGTCTGCTGTATTTAATGCATTTTACACTTGTTGATTGATTGATTGATTGATTAAATTTATAAAATCAATCAATCAATCACCCAAAAAGCTTGAAATGAACTGCTGTATTTAATGTATTTTACACTTGTTAGAATTTCAACAAATAAAGCAATACTATACTTCTCTTTTAATTGTGAAATCTCAGTGAAATGAAAAAATTGTGACATCTATGAACTAAAATAATTGTTTTCTTGGCAAAAGCTCATTTTAACTAATAATGATTCTAATATTATGAGAGGAACAGCTGAGGAATCTTGGTTCTGATGAGATTCATGGTTTTCCTGATCATATTTAATGGAAGAACCAAATTGGAATATTTGACATTCTTGCTTCTTGACAATATTTTCCATAGGCTGAAACTATCAATGATTCAAACCAATAGCACAAGAAATTACTGTGGGCTGTGCAATTCTTTGGATTCAAAGAAAGAAGCAGAGCAGCTTTAGAATATGCATGACACCCGCAAAGCACCTATTCAATTTCTTCAAGCAACTCTGTCTTTTCTCAGGATCACGTGATTGCCCTACTCAGCTTCAGTGTGATACAGGAAAAGATCCATTTGGTTAAAGAACTACCAATAAGTGCTCCAAAGACGTTTTCTCTCTTCAAATCTGAAGCATTGCACATCAGTTTAACTAGAAAAAAACAGGGTGGTTAACTCTTTTCAAGGTGAGAGAGGTCTGTAAGCCACACACTTTTGTGTAAGTTGTATCACAGATTTATCATAAACGTGAACGGACTGCAATTAACACTACCTTTCCTGTTGTCTGCCTATCTTGTCTGCATAGATTTCTGCATAGAGCAAAGCTGTGAAGTGAGCAGAACAAGACTGGGCTACCATGGCAACCTGCAGATAGCTTAACTCCAGCCAGAAGCTGTCATCAAAGATGGTACTGGAAGGATTCCTAGATAAAAACAATTAACAAACCCAATTGTCTCATTTTACCACACTCTTCCCAAATGAAGCAGGCACATATATGAGTTACATTAGTCTTGTCATGATTTGCCATACAAATTGATTAATGTAATCTATAGAAAAAATTCAGATAGAATAATTTTCAACTTTAGAGTTAACAATTACTGTATACTTCCTATTTTTTTTAAAAAATCGGTCTTATTTTTCTGAATAAAAGAATAATAGATTAAAATAAAGACAACAAAAGAACTCAACCTACTTTTTTTGATGTCTTAAGTAGTCAACCACAGCAAGCATTGTTCTTCGAGATATTTTATCCAAATGAACTAGAGTTTCTGAATCTATATTAAACAACATCTTCACAGTAATTCAACTCATTAATGAAAGATAGATTTACATAAGTTTAAAAATAACTCCTACATTACAATATACAGAATCTGAAAAAGAAATCCCAAGGAATACCACTTTTAAATTTCAAAGTGGTTTTGAATTTCTTTTATTCGTTTTATTAAATGTATTTATTTTAAAAAGAGATATGGCTGCCCATCTTAAATCTAACTCTCTGGATGGAGAGATCTAATCAATAAGACAAAAGCAGTAACACACAAACACCCCTCAGCCCCAAAATACCTGCCACTACTATTAAACTTTCTGAAGCCCTTCACAACACACTCTTCCCCATGCCTCTGCCAGTGCTTGTGGGTAAAAACAGATCTTAAGTGTTTTTTAGAACATTAATCGATAGTGGCCTGCAAGAACTCAAGGGAAGGCTGTTCCACAGGGCATGGGAGAGGGTTCTTTGAATGCTTCATAGGCCTCTTAAGATAGCACAGTTTAAGGAAAGGCACCTGGAACATGACTATCCTATCCAATCTTGGGGGATAGGCAGTCACCTAAACAACCTGGCCCATAGTTCACAAAATAAGAGTATAATGTGGGTGAACCTAGGAATGCTGAATACTGGAAACATTGTAGTTTCCGGATAGTCTTCAAGGGCAACTCAATTTGGAGTCAGTTTTAAAGACTCCGTCTAAAGTTCAAGTATTAATAAGAGAATAGGTATTACAACTACCAATAATTAGATCGTTAACGATATATATGAATATGTTAACAATTCCTACCTTCTAGTATAATCTCCTGCCAGAGTTGTGTGTGCTGCCACTTTTACATTGTTTAGAGATAAAGGTTTCCCCTGCCCAATCATGACTCTAGGGGGTGGTGCGCATCTGTTTCCTAGCCAAGGGAGCGAGCGCTGTCCAAAAACACTTCTGTGGTCATGTGACCGGCATGATTATATGCCAAGGGGGCACAGAATACTGTTACTTTCCCACTGAAGTGGTACTTATTTATGTACTTGCGTTTTCATGCTAGGTTGGCAGGAGCTATTTCTTGGCTGGCATAGCCACTACTGCACCACAGAAACAAAACATTTCACAGTTTATCCCAGATTCTAGCATAAGAGAAGCCTCGGTCTCATACCTGAATCTGAATTTGCAGGTGTAGATGATCTACTGGATGACGAGTGTTTGCAACAGGTCATGAAAAACGTTTGAAGTTGTGCAGACAGAAGATTGTGTCCAGATTCATTTGAGTCATGTAGTAAGATGTCATGAATTAAATAAGGAAGGACAGTTTGACAGAAATCAGCATGAACCTACAAGAAATGCAAAATAAGGTTTTGAACATCAAATTATGTCCTCATATTGGCTCTTGGTCATTTTCATTTTTGAAAATCACAGTATCTAAGAAATGCATATTTCCTTATTAAAATAAAATGAAGAGAGACACAGCCAAGCGAATGGTCACATAAGATACAGCATAACCCACACCAGAATAGAGGGCAGGGCAAGAGGTACAGAAGACATCCTCCCTATTTCTTTGGACTGTAAGAGAGTGTGGGGGGGGGGGCAGGGATTATATTTTCAGACTTGCAAAGTTGGTCAACGTAGCTTTAATAAATTAGTATTACTGTGTTCCCCAAAAATAAGACAGGGTTTTTATTTTGACACACGAAATATGGCCTTGGTCTTATTATCGGGGGGGGGGTGTCCTTATTATTTTGGGGGTGCAAGAGGCAGCAAGCATGGGACTGCATGTCCTGTCACCCCTATCACCTCCCCTCCCTGTTCTTTGCGCCG